TAACTATCTACTATATGGGTTTAAAAACCGGTTTTGAACTAAATTTCATTCCAATAACTTATATTGAGCAAATTCATAATATACCTACAGGGCGTTTGAATTTTTAGCAATAATATGGATGTTTCCAAATGACATAATAGTTTTCATATACACCCAAGTAGAATTATTCGTGAAGGAACGAGTTATTTTTTTCACAATGCTTTGACACGGTTTAGGTCAGATGTTCTTGATTCCTTCAATACTACACATACACAACACGCCTCTGGCAAAAGACATTCCAAGTGGGGTGCCAGCCCAACCCTTATTAAAGCCAGGTAGCCGTAGGAGGCCAGATTTTTCATTATTCTTCTGGCAACTGGCAGTCATTCTTGCAATATACTAATCGTAGAAATCATCCAAATGGTCCAATGTATTTTGAAAGAAAAAGAAAAACACAAATTTCAAAGTCGGTCGACCACACTTTATATAATAAAAGAGATGATATTTTTTGATTTAATAAAATCTCTTTTTTGATTTTTTTAATTGTATGATAAATTGACATTCATCATATAGGACGTGGAAAGAAATTCCGAATTGAGAGATATAATTCCCATATCACTGGTACGAATGATTTTTTTGGAAGTTCCAAGCTCATCAAGATCAGAGTTCATACACAAGTATACTTCTCCTATACATTTCAATTTTCATTTCAATACTGAACTTATCGGTAAGTTATATTTTTATATCATAATACATCATATTATTCTATTCGATTTGAGAGATCATGTTAATTCTCAATTTTAGAGGATTTTGATCTTTCATGCCCTCTTTTTGGATATTCAACATATCTGAGGATGTTTCTTTTCTTTTTTCTGATGATTTTAATGTGACTATTGTACTGCACAGTCTGATGATGGCCGTTGTGCCGAAACCGGTCACAGTTTTTTGTAATCTTACTTCTATATAAAGTGTGGTCGACCGACTTTGAAATTTGTGTTTTTCTCTTAAGTTTATATCGATTATTATAATTCGAACATTTATACAGTGTTCAGTAATATACACTCGATCCATGTTCTTTCGACTATCTTTGATTAGTTTGTTTAGCAATTATCCTAATTACACTAGCGGTAGTGATGAATAAGTATTCCACACAACGATCGAAGGTCATTCCATATCTTCTGATTCTGTATATCGCAAACAAAGCCTTCTACGACTTTTCTGTGTGAATGTTTATTGAACAATTCTTCAGCTCAACAATAATCGATATTCTTCTATTTCCAGGGTTGGATTCAGTAATATTTTGGTAGAGGGTAATAATCACCAAAAATTTCACGCTGTATATGGGGTGAACTTTTTGATATGAACCAAATTGCCAGAATTTCTCAAGACCGGTCCTGGATTTTTTTGATTCTCAATACGTCAGTTGATTGCTGAGTGACAGCATAATAATCCATCAAAAAATGAAAGGAATCGAAAGAACTGTTGGAAAGTTATGATTGAAAGAAATTTTGGCCATCCCATAAATCACTCTATAGAAAATTTTAGAAGAGGCGGAGACACTTTCTGATGGTCATTTGGTATTCCCCTCAGGTGCCATTATCCGTAGTAGGAGCATGACTCACCCTGTATATTGTGGAATATTTCTATTTATACTCTCCTCCAGTTAGTGGAACTAATCAGCCAACGTGATTGGACCGCAAACTAAAGATAATATTGTTTTCAAACATATCACTATTTCTAAAATATATGGAATCAATTCTATCAGTGAATACAGAATAACAAACAAATTTGAAAGTTACAAACAACTTTTCACTTTTGACTGAGTAATTAAATGACAACATATTTTTTCATTAATAGCCACTACATGATAATACATATGGCACCAACATTTTTGAAGTTGACCCCAGGGTGAAGTGTTTTTGATATTTGGTTGCCAAATAGGTCGATATATACATTTTATATAAATCATGAAAATCATCCATATCTCAAAGTGGTCCAGAATAATTTCATAAGAAAAACAAACAGCACAAAGTCAGTGGACCACACTTCAATAATAATCAATATTTGATACTCACATATACAGGGTGTTTCAAAAAAACCTAACCCCCTTGCTAGGGTAGGTAGAACATTGCAAACTAAGTTTCGTTTGCTCAGTAAAAAATGTCGTAACGCCATCCGTTTTCAAGATACAAGGTGTTGAAACAACATTTTTTTTACACATTCTTTACGATTATGTTGAAACTACTGGCAACATTGTGATGAAATTTTGTATGGATGTTTCTTGGAATCATTACTACTCCATTATTTTCAAATCGAAATATTCCGAAAACGGAACATAGTATCAAGTTTCACCAGGAGTACCTTTTTGGTGTGAAATTGAATGATGTTCAAGTTCACATCAAATTTGGATTGAAAAATCTAACCTCAAAAAAGTTACGTTGAAAACTACCCGGTACGAACCGTGTAACTAGCGCCCTCTATGAGAGTCAGATATGAAAACAAATTCATGCGATGTGTCAGATTCCAAGAAACATCCATACAAAATTTCATTACAATGTTGCCAGAATTTTCAGAATAATTGCGAAAAATGTGTAAGAAAATATTTTTTTCAACACCTTGTATCATGAAAACGGATGCCGTTACGACATTTTTTTACAGAACAAACCCAACTTATTTTGCAATGTTTTACCTACCCTAGCAAGGGGGTTAGGTTTTTTTGAAACACCCTGTATATTCAATTTTTTTTCAATCGTATACGAGGTGTGTCAAAAAAATGTGAATTGCACTCAAGAGTAAATTATCTTTATATTTGATACACTGCGTTTGTTATCTGATGATTGCATTTTAGAACATGCTGAACTTTTTATGAGGAATAACTTTTTTCCATAAAATGAATGATAAAATAGTTTTCCATTTGGTTCCAACTTAGTAAGACATATTGTATTTATGTGTTAATTGTAATTTCAATCTCTTCTCTCACTACTTTGATCAATTTGGGACACTATGATGTATGCAATTCAACCTTGAATCAATTGATAGTTGATTTTTATGTGGTTGTGTGCTGTCCACTTCTCTTGGGTCATTGACTCAGAAATATCCAGATTATACAATCTCCCTCACAATTTCCGTTGCAGAACCATAATTCGAAAAATATCTCTTGGCCATGATAATACAGTAGGTTTATTTTTGAATTCTAATCGATTTTGTACCGACATTAAATAAATTACCTTAAGCATACCAAAGAAAATTTTGGATGCTACTAAATTTCAGTTTTTTTTTAAAATCTGGAATGAAACATTCGCTTTGACCAAACAACTACATCCAAAATTTTTCCTTCTTGGAAGTTTTAAATGGGTCTCTGGTTCCTGTATACTAATACATAGGCTTCATTTCACTAAACAGATTTGATTATTTTAATCATACTTATTGAATCTATTTGCCTTCAGATTATCGGTAAGTAATTTAGTGAAATCATTATAGTTTGCAAAAAAGATAAACAAATCAAATTGGTTATCTGAATCATATAATTAATTAATAATAAATCATTTAAACAAGTTTATCTTATTCTCATCTGACGAATGATGAATCACTTATGTGAAATGCTTATGCCCATGAATATTTATCTGAAGTGATACCACTCGAGAAACCAGTGTATTACAAATACATCATTTTAGAGGCTTGAAATTAATCAGCAATTTTGTAGCATTAGTGAAAATTACTAACTTTGAATAAAAAATAACGTAGACGTCTAAAAGAAGTTAATTTAAAAGCTAGGAGACCTGCAAAAGGTCGCTAGAAGAAATTTTGTTGAAAATTTTGGACTGTGGAATATTCCTGAATGGTCGAATGTCTTGTTTACGGATGAGCCAAGGTTTTGCCTTAGCATGGTGGATGGTGAACGGTTTAACCAAAATTTAATAACAGAATGCGAAAGTTTTAATGGTTGTTCCGTTATGGTGTGGGGAGGGATTTTAATGAATGAAAAGACACCCCCTCATGTTTTTCCGGTGAGGCAGTCGATGAATGCCCAAATTTACATTGACATTTTAGAGCAGTATGTCTTACCATATGCAGAGTTAGTGGGCAATAATCTCATATTGATGCAGGATAATGCCCGACCACACACCGCAGCAATAGTGCGAAACTTCTTAGAAGCAACTGGTATTACCACATTACAATTGCCTGCGAGAAGCCCCGATATGAACCCTATAGAACATTTGTGGGATGAATTAGGGAGAAGGGTACGTTCTCGCGAGAGGTCTCCGGAAAGTCTCGCGTAAATGGCAGATGCATTAGTGGAAGAATGGGATCGTATACCAATGGAAACGATAAGCAACTTAATTTCCAGTATGCCTCGTAGATTAGAAGTTCTTAGAGTTGCTAGAGGAGGCAATACACGGTATTAAGCAGTCATCCCAATTTATAATTTCGTGTTTGATAAAAATGTTTTTTTAAATTATTGGTATCTGTTTATTTCATTAGAAAAATGTTTCTCGATAAATTCAGAAAGTTGGTAATCTGCAAGGATTCAGCAAAAAAAGCTGTAATTCGGAAAATTTTAGAGATAAATCAATGAATAAAAAAACAAAATGCTCGCAAAAGAAGCCTCTTTCTATAGGGTGTAAGCACTTCCTATGCCATTACTCAATTAACACACAGGGTGAGTAAAAAATTAAGAATAAATCATGGTTCGAGTTATTCCACCACCATCAAGGAGGCTTTGAAAAAATTTTCACCTCTTTATTTTTTTTTTGAAAGACAAATGCATTACCTCTACCAACAAATAAAAAAAAAATAGAAATCGGCCTATTATTTTTTTTTAAGAAGAAAGGTCAAATATCAAGTACGTCAGTTTTTTTGGAACCGAGTGTATATCTAATATATATCCGGAAAAAGAGTACTCACTTTTTTTCCGTGGGAAAAAAGTAATTTATGGAGAGTGACATTTTATAACCTGTCAACAGAGATGAAATTTCAAACTTTTTATCCGTCACAGAAAAAATAAATGTTTTTTTTTGTAGGTTAGGATTATTAGTAGGCAAGAGACCTATACAAACAATTGTGATATGTTGGGCTGTAGTATTTATAAGCGCTTTAGGACTCCTGCGTTTTCGCCAGGAAAAGAACCCTCTGAAGCTATGGGTTCCTCCCTTCACCTCATTTGCAAGAGACACCGAATGGTTGTTGAACAACTTGCAGACTGGTTACCAAGACGAAGTTGTCATGATAACGGGAAATGACGTGCTCACACCAGAAGTTATACAAAAGGTAAGAGAATTTTGAAAAAACCCTGTTATAAAATGTTTTTATGCAACCGACTCGAGAGTCATACACTTTAATTCAAAAATTAGCTCTTCAAGTTGGCGTTTCTATAACTGACACAAAAATAGGTATTTTTTGCTAGGCAAGACTTGAAGTTCAACTTTAGCCCCTAGGAACTAAAAAGGATGTGGAGTCGATCCAAAGTCGCAGAGGGGTTTCGCTTCCAGACATTCACAGATTGGGTTTTTTCAATTCAACATTTTTTCCACGCCCTGTATGATGAACATAAATTCATTGTACAACTGACAAACCATTGTCTGAATGACAACCTAGTTCGCCTACTAGATTTGCATTCAGATCGACAATGGACAAACGCTCCAACTGACTTTGAGTAGACTATACTGGGTCATCAAGAATGAACAACATAGGTTAGTATTTATTATATTCATCAAGAAACTCAAACAGAATTACATACAATTCGAACATCCTTGAAAATTGAATAAACCTGATCTGTAAATGCCCCCACAGTATTTTTTTCGAATTAATCACTTCTGGCACGGCATCTACGTTTCGGGTGGTATTGAATTCGTGCCTGTAGTCTTTGTCGAGATGATGCATGTCAACACGAATTGTAACAAAGTAGTCTGAGGCCTTGTTTCTATCTATTATTACTCATATTATTATAATAATCTGACAAGTGAGTCACATTGGTGGTTACTCCATTTTCATATTTATTTTAGATTGTTAATTCTTTCGGTTGCAGAAAAAATAGCATGATTCATTCGGATTAAAAGTGACTGTATTTGACAAATATTTGCGTCACTTTTGGAACAATCTACTATTTTTTTCACCGCTAAAAACTTCTGGTGCATCGATCATGTATCGATAGCCATTACATGATCGTTGCTATACACTATTTTTTCTATGAACAATAAATAATAGAATGAAAACATCGATTCATTTCAAACTTATTTATATTTCAACATATTCCAACATCTCCAGATTACTTTTGAGGCGTCGTAATTAAAAGTCAATGGTATACTTGATTACTCGAATGGCTTTATGTTGATGAAATTTGATGATTCTAGGACTCTACTCAGCTCTCTAATAGAAGTTATTCAGAAGAAAAATTAGTTTCTCTGAGCTCCACTTCCAATTAGATTAAAATCATTTCATCATATCATGATAGGCAAAAAATATGATCTATAGAAAACCAGTTGAAATTACGAATAATGATACACAGGCAGTACGGTAGAGCTATGAACAATACAGAGTATGTTTAAAATGACAACCACCTGAAGTGACTATTTTTTACACTGTCTGGGAAGTGACTACTGAAGTAAGCATCAGTAAAATTTTACAATTCAATTTGACAAATACCACTTGATTATTTTATTACTTTCAGTTTGTTTTGAAAATAATACAATTAACTACCGAGCTACGATATATTTATGTCCCTGAAGTGTGAAACATAATTCATCGTCACGTCACCATCGTCTTATAAATCATTATGTCTTATGTGAATTTAGTGCTGATACGCCACTGGCGTACTTTCAGTGCCCGTGTATTTATGGACTCGGTGTGGTGAGGTGGTCCTGTCATTGATGAAATCAGATGAAATAGAGGTTTATTTCATCAATGTCCTGTCAACCGAGGTGACGCCTTTGACATAAAACAATGCACCTTATCTGCAGGGAACTGTAAACATGGCTGAAGCCACATGCAGAAAAGGGGGCGAAATTGTGATACCAAAACTAGACATTCTTCAGTACTTTCAATAGTGTTCAGTACCAATTCGAATAAGGCCGAGTTCTGATCTCCAATTGATTGCTCATTTTAATGTATTCTAATATTCATTCTTCATATTCCCTTTGTGTAATTTCGACGAATATACATATTGTTCAAAAGTTACGCATTGTTCAGTGTGTATACTTCAAATCCTAGACAATGATTGTGTATTACCAGAATCAGTATCCTATTGAAATACAGTCCACTAAAACCATCTATCGAAACAACGAAACGACATAACATTATCAATATATGTGCTACCTACCTATCGAAAATAAAGATTGTTGAAACAATACATTTGTAAGCTTAGAGATGAATAGAGAGCGCTTCTTTTTACAATAAATATTATCACAATATAAATGATCAGTTACCACTACAGATAAGGACACCTGCCATTATAATAAATCATAAAAATTGAAATAAAATGTTGCAAATTTAATCTGTGCCTAAAATCTTAATCGAGGCGATAATCTCATCATTTGGTGATGGTCACTTCGATTCCGTCTAGACTTTGTACATCATACTTATAATTATATCGAGCACCGTTCAAGGTAAATTCATTATCATGATCGTTTTAGATTGAGAAAAAACTAGTCAATAAAATTTATACGATTTCAGGTGGCATGGTAGACCCCTATGTATTTGTTGATTGGTATGAAATCAAATAAAAATATATAAACTACGCAACAAAAATTTCGTCACATCCCAAAATTTTGTCTGTGTTGAAATATGAATAACTTTTTTCTGCTTTGAAAGATTTGAATTCAGATCACATTGTGCGCTAGCCCAGTCCTTCAGTTATTATCTCGTATTTCTTTAAAACATAAGATTCTTCACATAAAGTCGCTATAGGGTGTTACCTGAAACTGTGCAAAATTTCGGAAATTTCAAAATTATCCCTAATGAAGAAAAAAATTTCTTTTAACTTTGACTGTAGAGGTATGTAGATGATCTCATCATCTTGGGAAAGTTCTCGAATTGTCTCCTTATCTCTTCAATTTACAGAGTGATCTCGAAAAATTAACTTTCTGGTTTTGCAGTCATAACCTTTTTCCTCGTCAACCGATGTTTGAAATCTCAGGCTCATTTTGAAGCTTAAACTTCAGATGAAGAGATATGAAGATGAGAATTGACTCAAGATGACTATTATACAGTGTGTCTCACTTCTAACGGAAGCACCCCTGTATCTTTCGTAATTGTTGATTTAGGATTCTGGAATTTGCAAGAGCGGTAGATATAAAAAGTTTCTGTTCATTTGGAATTCTTTTGAAAATTCCGAAATTTTTCACAGTTTCAGGTGACACCCTCTAGCGATTTTATATGAAGAACCTCATGTTTCAAAGAATTACGAGATTATAGCTGAAGAACTGGGCTAGCGAAGAGTGTAATCCGAATTCAAATTGTTCAAAGCAGAAAAAAGTTACTCATACTTTAACAGGGACAAAATTTTGGGGTCCAACGAAATGAGTGTTGCGTAGTTTATTTACCTAACTAGTTAGGAAACTAGTTGCGTACAATATTGTTTCTAATGTTGACGACAAATTTCGCTTAAACAAATAATCGGATCGATTCTGTTCTTGTTATAACATCGCTAAGATACAAATATTGTTATGATCATAACATAAAACAATCTTGCTATGAAGTTCTGTATTCTGTTTGCAGCGTAACTGCAAGACTGGTTATAAGTTCAAGTGATATCAATATTGTTGAAAAATTGAGAATTTTTAAGCTGACAACGCTGTTTTCAACTCATTGTTTGAGTGTTAGGTATCGATTTTGCCATTATTTCATGAAGAAGAAGAGTTCATGATTATCTAACCTCTCAAATTAGTCAGTCCTGCGCTGACATTTTACAAAATTATATTGTTCAAATCGAGAGATTTTGTATTTGCTGAATCTGGTCGTCGTTGTGCGACTGGCAAGTAATCAATCATGTCCCCGAAATGAGAACTAAAAGCCGGATGAAAATAATCGTGATTTTTTTTTAATATTCTAGCAGAATAGCTTGATAAACTATCCATCAGGCAACTGAAATTTCTCTGATATGCCGAAATTGTAGTCTCATATTTCCTCTACAAATTGGAACTTCAAGAAAAGGTTTTCAAGTAGTTGGTCACAGTAGTGAACCTATCCTATATGTTTGTAATCAACATTTTATGTTTTTCAATAATTCTTCTACGAATTGAAACTTTGAGGAAAGGTTTTCGAGTAGTCTGTGACACAACTGAACTCTCATATGTTTTTAATCCACCATTTTCTGAATTTTCATACAGTTGGAAGAATTTGTAGTGCAAAAACAAAGAATCCACTACCTTGTTATAGCATAGCAAGCACAAAATTGATGTTGCCGAGATAGCAAGAAAGCTGACCAAATGTCATTGAAATTGACAGATCATATTGCCAAAAATCGATCATCAGAATTCCACTTTTTCGAATCTTGCTATGATAGCAATATCTTCTCTACAACCATATTGCTATTTACAAACAGAATCGACGGGTTCTAATCTAGATGAGTTCTACATTCGCCCGTCACTTTGAGGTATCCATCATAAATACGATCATCAGCGATGAAATGCACGAAATAAACTCGTTTGATATCTTCATTAGTGGAAAATGGCTGATTCAAGTTTAGGTTTTCCAATTAATATCGAGGAACCAGTACATCCTATTCTCTTCGTCCATCCATATTTTTATTACATAACTGGTGTTGAGGTGACTTTCATTACCAGTTATGTAATATTTTACTTTACACAACTGGTTTCGTAAAGTATGTGGCAACATTTGAATAAATAGAAAAACTCATGTAATGGAAAGACAAGAGCAGACTTGCATTTTTTTTGCTCTCAGTGTGAAACTGTACGACTAACTTTTATATTGACGGAGAAGCAGATTTGGTAGGAAGAGCTAAATGAAACTATCAGCCCCGACAGTTTATCTAATACTTTGCTGCCTAGTAAAACAAATAATTATTTTCTACGGCTATAACACAAAATTGTTCGTGTTTTACTGTGTTCGATACACCAATGAGGTACTTTGTATGTTATCAATTTTATTTCCGTATCTGATATTACAATGACTCCATTGTGTTATTATTTCAAAAAAATCTCATCGCTCGTGGAAGGTCAAATTTCCAGCAATGACAGCTCCGTCTAATAGATGAGCATTACTTGACTGGAAATCAGATGGCTACAAGACGAAGAAATCAAAACTGCCGCTGTTATCTGTTCAGCCGTAGAAAAATTATAGTGTATAACTCGTACGGAATTGCAATTTTCAAATCACTATCATTCCGTGCTTGTTTAACAATATACTATATTTTAATTTTGACATGTAATTTCACCCTTTCCAAAACTGACAGAAGTTTTGAAGCGTCTTTTTTTAAACACCTGCTTACCTACGTAGAGTCATTAGAGTAAGACGCTTCAAAACTTCCGTTAGTTTTCAAAAGGGTCAAATTACATGTCAAAATTAGAAAATAGTAAATTGTTTTATTAGGATCAAAAGTGACACTTTGTTTGACAAGCGAATTTTGCATTTGCGAAGCGGAGCGTCTAGCGAAGCCGAGCGAAAGCCAAATTTGCCAGTCAAACAAAGTCACTATTGATCCGAATGAAACATGCTATTTTTTCTGCAACCGAAAGAATTAACTAAAATAAATATGGGAAGTAACCACCAATGTGACTTACTTGACAGATTAGGCAAGTAGATAGAAGCAAGATATCAGACTACTTTACATTAACTACTGACTACTTCATTACAATTTGTGTTGACATGCATCATCAGATACTACAGGCACGAATTCAATACTTTACCCGAAACGTGGCTGCCGATAGGAAAAAGAAGTGGAAAATGTTAGGTTAGTGAGTATAGCAACAGTAATAATAGCGATTATTTATTTCTCTCCATATTCCACTGTGTTTGGCTTGGTAATCAAATGAAGGTAAACAATATCGTTGTGTGAGGCAAAAAAGTATTGTTGGCCGTTATTATTCGAAAACAAGTCATCCAATCAATCAGATCCCGAGAATGAATGAAATACAGATTAAGCAAGTATGTGAATCTAGAAGGCTTTCTTGATCAAAATAAAAATACTTAACTATATGGTGTATTTATATCGCCAGCATGGGTATGGAATGCTGAATCTGCCGAAATCGGGAACAAATTAGGTATGTTTCCCAACCCAAATAACCAACCAATGTTGTTTATTCTTGATGACCTAGTACATCATTTTTAGTTCCTAGGAGCTAAAGTTCAACTTTAGCTCCTTGGAATTAAATATTAATATTGGTATTAAAATAGATTTTTGTGTCGGTTGCAGAAAAAATATATTATTTGTCAATGCATTGTCACCGTTCCGTTTTGTTTCCGTGGCATATACAGGGTGTCAATTTGGAATTTCAATGGGAGTAGGTATGTTGCAAAATTAAAAAGTTGGATAAACGTGGTGTGGCACTAATGTTAAAGAGTTAGGGGAAACCGAACCACAGGAGTGAAAAACAATTCATTTTTGTTTCAGCTTTTCGATTTGGATATACAAGTTAGGACAGCAAAAAGTAAAACAAATCTTGTTCTAAGCGATGTGTGTTTTCAGTGAGTATTCCCAATTAAAATGTATTTATATTTTTTGAACGTTGAACTCATCAATATGTTGTGTGCGATAAAACATCATTAGAATCATTTCACAAAAAAAATTAATAAACGTGTGCACGTCACATAATTACAAACCTTCCCAAGTGTCTAGGGGTCACACAAATATAATACATTTATTTTCTTCAATATTGTCACGAGAGCTTTTTTTTGTCGAAGTAAACTTGGCAAGTATCAATAAGGATTTTGTTGCCTGGCATTTTGATGACAAAAACTGGTCAAGTTAGAGTCACTGGATGGTATTAGCTATGGTATTAGTTTGATAAGAGTTCGGACACAGCTGAACTTTTGTCCTTTTCTATATTCTATAACACAATATACAATGGTTTGAGTGAATAAAAGAATAAGACATATATTCTTCTCTTAGTCTCTCCAATTTCCCTAGTAGCGCCTGATTGTCAGATACGAATTTAGAGGTTATATTATCTGTCAAATCAATCATAGCCGTAGATGGACAATGGAAATAGGGTACAAACACCCATTTCAATTTATAGTGATACCCTCCTAGCAGAACAACTGATATATAAATGAAAAGAATGCATGTAACTACATTTTAATATTAGAAAATATACACGTACATATGGATAAACTTAAATATAGCTATAATTCCTTATATTGTATGTGAAACTGTACAGGTATTCTCAATTTACAAGAAGTAACATAAGTACGTTCAAGTGAAGTATTCCTGAGACAATTTCAATAAGAAATAATACAGGGTATTGAAATACAGAGAACAAATCATTTTTCGATAAACATTTCATAGAAAAAAAGTAGTTTATTTTGACGAGACTTACCACATGGTTTTGTATAGTTCTCGGCAACTTCACTTAGCGCCCTATAAGGATCGATATAGAAAATTGTAAATATCTCCAAAACGATAACCTCCTGCGTAATTAAGGCCCTTATAATAATTTGCTTGATACATAAATAACTCACTTTTCACTGAATTTTGAATTTGGTCTGCACCAAAAATGACATTCAATAATATATCACGTTGTAGTTTACTTGCTTTTCTTAGTTTCGTTTTCAAATTTTCAATGTCATTATGTAATTTTGCGATCAATTCCTCTTTTTCCATGATTATTTTTTATTTTGTGTGATGATAATAATGGATTTTTGTTCTTGAAATCGTCTGCTTTGTAAATTGATGGAACAGCAGATTCTCTCAAACAGATTTTGAAATCTTCTGTTTGAAAACGGGCCTGAAATATAGTTTCACTCTAATCAGATGCTGTTATGAGAAGTGAATTTCAATGAGTACCTCTCAAATTTTGCTCTTCTTCAAACCCAGGCCGTTTCATATCTTTCTTCCATAAGCGAATGGTTGATATTAGTTTTGGAAAATTGAATAAATGATATCCATTTTTTTCAGAATTGGCACAATTCATTACACAACAAGTGATTTCCATAACTGCTTTTTTCTCGAAAATATAATTATGAAATTTTATTTCAATTCTGACGTTTATAAAATGTAATGTCAAATTCAAACAATTTTCATTTTACTTGATTCTTTGGGATTTTCTGTCCTCGTTTCTATAAAATAAAAGTATTCGTATTATTTCAATATATTTGTAGAGGGACAAATCAGATGATTTGCCCCAAAATGTCACTGCGTTTAAACAATTTTTCTATCAGGGAGTCTAAAAGAAAAATCCAGTAGGCCTGTCAGTGACAATTTGTTTGAAAAAATGTTTGAAGGAAAGAAATATAGATATATTGAAAAAATATCGAATTTTTACTTATCTTTGGACGTTTCGGGACCGATTCTGCTCCCGTTCTCAACATGTAAATGCAAAATATGTTTCTTTGAAAGTTGTGCTGCTAATAGTTTGACACTTTTCAGTGTCATACTGATGTTGGCATATGAATGAGTGACTTTAGTCTACAAAAGAGTTACAGGATGTTTTCATCATTTGATCTTGAATCTACCATTTTCATGTTCAGCTTTCAGTAGTGAATACCATGTTCTATCTATATCAACTGAACAGGAAGCAATGCTATTGTCTCCGTTTAGAAGAATGCAAGCGGATTCCTTGATTTTTCTTTTTTGTTTGTTATCTTTTTCGTTTACTTTCCTATGAAAGGAGGCTGTGTCAAGTCATCCGTTCGACCACAGTGGTGATACCAGGATGGTCAATGGTTGACTCGACTCCCATAAAAAATAACGTGGTAACTTTGCGGGCAACTCTGTATAATAACTCTATGACGAAACTACCAATCACCGATAATGATAGGATAGATAGTCTGTCATATCAGTTCAGGAACAAGAACCTATTGAAATTCCATTGCGTTTCTCATTAATGAGCATGCGATATGTCATATACGAGGTACTGCTCTGCTCAACTGGTTCTACCAACCCTGTGCATCCATATGTACGGGTATCCATCGAAAAGACCCACCTTATTTTTCATCCGGAAAATAGGCGGAAGTTGAAAGCCCTTATCAGATGTTCCACAGGATGATCCCTAAATGCGTGACAAACCACTCTGTTTTTTATATATTTTTTGGAATATGTGATTTTTGTGGTCACAAAAATAAATATATACTGGCTGATATCTTCTATTTACATTTTTTTATCACCACTCTTTTGAGCCTATTTTTCCTGGAAATATTCGTCGATCGACATACTCCACTCGCTTAGTGCTTTAATTTCGCTCATGACATTGTCCCAAAACTTGTCGCCGACGGCTTGATTTACAATGTCATTCGCGAAATTATTAGGCAACAAGCTGTCACAACAATCGCGAAATATTTTCGGTTAAATAGCATCACTTGTGGTATTACATATGAACAAAATCGCTAATGATATTTCGCAATCTTTAACATGAAAAAAATAACATAGTATGCCCTGAAAATTGGAATTATATTGTGCAAACTTGTGCACAGATTCCGAAAATATATAAAAAAACAGGGTGTTCCATTTAGAAAAATAATTTGTGGTTTGTAACGCTCTATATAGGATCACCCTGTTAAACTTTTGATGAGGGCTGTGGAAAGGCCTTATTGCGGCATTTAACTTCCGCATATCGTTTCTTTTTCTTTCTCGTTAGAAAAATTAGGAAAATATAGGGTTGGGTCTTTTCGATGGATAACCCTGATTTGCAAAAAATTCGAGATGCGAGACACTGACTGCACTTTCACCGTGAAAATATTGAAAATAAATCCGAGATATTAAAAAAATATACAATAATAGGTATAGTCAATGTGGAATAGTCATTTTATAGTCTTCTGTATTGGCAGAATTTACGATCACGTTGAAAATCGAAACAATAATGGAATTAAATAGGATTTTTTCCAATACGTCATTATTTTTCCAATACATGAATCTTTTTTCCAATAGAATGATTATTTTCTGATTTATTGTATTTATTATAAGACATATTTTTTTATAATTTTGTGACCCTCTTAAAGCGTTCGTGTAAAACTGCTAAAAACAAATTCATAATGAAAGATTCAATCTCTTTTAGGATTCCAAAAGTGGACAAAGGGCTCTTGAAGCTACTTGAAGATAATACGACAAATTTAGACCCCAGTTTACAGATGAATCCTGCTATATATTGTAGCTTCGTTGAAGCTATGAAGAAAGAGTGTTTTACGAAGAGCATTCTGGAATTATGGGATTTTAACAAGAAGAAAATTTGGAATCTCACGAAAGATGATATTATAGAAACTATTAATACTTATGACAAAAAGTAAGAATACAATTATTATTCAATTCAGCGTTAAGAAAATGAGACTTGTTCTCGATTCAAACAGAATATACCGTGTCAAATAAACTCATGGTACGCCCTCTTTTTCTCCGAAATTATGTAAATTTAACAATACCTTATAAATTATACCTAAAAAAATTGAAAATAATCAAACCCTATCATAATGCTGAAGTAGCACATAAACGGTCAATAACAGAAGAAGGTAAAAACTCGCAGAACTTGATAATCATGGACAAGTATGAAGAAGGACCAAAAAAATATTGTTAGATATCTCGAAGACCAATATAAATTATAAATAAACTGTTGAAAAAATTTAGATGATTGATCTTGTCATTCACTGAAATATCAGAATGTGGTTAGTGGTGTACTCCAAAAAAGTTTGCTCAATTTTCATCAAAGGGAATGCGAAATACCGATCTCCCTGTATATTGATCTAATTGGTATGACATATTTTTCACGCACATTCACGATAGTAAATTGCCCTATGAATTTTATAGCAGTATCTTTCAAGGACTCTGAAATATTCAAGAAAATCTGTGAAAAAAACTTGATTTTAATCGGTCTATTCAAGTAGGTACCTAGTTCAGCCTGTAGAATTTATGGTTTGTTGTTCTGGGACCCCTTGTATTCAGTACAAACACCATAATGTAGTAAATATGAGTTCAGGTATCTTCTCGGTTCAATAACAATAATTTATCAAGGTGGCTATTGAACACGAATATCAACTCGATCTTTGATCCCAGCTAGTCATGGTTGACTATCACCAGAGGAAATAATTATTCAAAATATAAATGAATTTATATCACATACTAGAATCTTTGGCACGACAATCACACTACACTATACAACTAAACCGATTTTTCAATGCCTTGACACGTATATCGCTTTCATGTATAGCCCTCTGTATAGTTTAGTGATTAAGGATTAGGATAAAGATCAAGTTGATGTCTTTCATGGTTAGGTGAACGTACCTAGCATACAGGGTGATTCAATAAGAATGGGCAATCTCTAAATGACAGATAGTTAACACCAAAATATAAAGATTTAGTCATGACTGACAAGAATGTTGCTTGTCAGGAGATACAGGGTGTTCAAGGGAAATATTTCATTTGAAAATTTCTCAATAACTTTGTAAGTTTCAACAGCATGATCATGAATTTTTGTAGTTTTAGGTTTTCTGATATGAGAAATACAAATTTTTAACTCATTTCGTGATTGCTCATAGAGGACGGACGCTAGTGACATTCTGGTACTTCGGTAAATTACATCATATCTTCTCTGTCCATCAAATGATGATTGAAATAGGTCAAAAATCTGAAAGTTCGTTCAATTTTACATAAAAAATGTAGGTATTCATATTGTAATTGAATCCTTTTTGACTTCTTCGCCGAAGGCTTTGGTGGAAAACTGAAGGTTGAGCTGTCAAAATACGCGAGATAGGGAGCTATTCTCAAAAATTTACATTATTCTCTAGCGAATATCCCGAAAACAATGAAAGATACGAAATAAACCTACTGATAGATTTTTGTAGACTACTTCACTCATCACATAATCTCACCAATCACAAGCCATCACAGATCAATAGTGCGCGTCGTGTGAGATGCCCCACCCTGTATATCAGAAAAAATTTGTCTGGGGATATGAATTCACCTCAATGTCCTCTAGTCCCCGTATATCAAGATATATATGAATACTATTCTAGATCTTTAAGTTTTATATTATTATTCTGATTCTAGTAATATTTTTGGAAATCTGAAAAAAATAGATAGTTTATTTGGAGGAGTCATCAGAAATGAATCAGGACATATAATAGGTGCCAAAGCTTTGGAAAATATTTGGTATCTCAATCTCAACTTGTCTGCCATAGATATGGACAAAACTGGAAATTTGGCTGGAACTGCAATGGGGGTAATTTCATTTCATACATAATATATTTTTCTGTGCACCACTAATCGAACAATTGTAGGCAACAGAAGAATCAAACGAATGGGAGGATGTATTCTTAGATTTGATGAAGAATTTCACAAACAATTCGAATCTGACTAGTTATTATAAAGCAGGAAGAAGGTGATTATTTTTCACGCGATCCTAAGAAATCAATGATATCGACTGGTCTCATTTTCCAGTTTCGGGGATATTAGCAACACTGCAATGTTCCAAGACATGGATAAGCTGTTCCTAGGAGTCGGCATTATGATAATCTACGTACAGCTAGTTATATCCAAATTCAACTGGTTGGAAGCAAGGGTAAGAATACCTTCATAATATAAAGGGGTTTTCAATAAGAGGTGCTATTTCTGATATTCAAAGAAAAATGCCATTTTTTAATATAAATGATCAAATGTTTATCCCATTATGAAGAGGAAGGTATGCCGTTAATAGTGGAAAATAACATCAGTTCATCACCACGACCACGCCTACAGGACCATCATCTTTTCATGAAATTTTCCATAACCAAATCGCAAAGTGGCTGCCTTATGTCTTCGATATAGCCTCACGAATTCCATTTTTGAGGTCTTGATGCTGGGCTGTTGGCGTAGACCTCCTTTCACGTGGCCCCAAAGGTTGAAGCGCAAGGTGTTGAATCACAAGATCTCGGTAGCCAACTGTGATAACCTCTCCGAAAGATAACACGGCCCGGAAACTTTATCCATGAAAGATCAATGGTTTCATTGCTTATTGTGTGGCAGGTAGCGCCGTCTAGTTGAAAGAGAACGTTGTCCAGATCAATACCATCCAATTCAGGCCATAAAAAATCATCTCTCGATAGCTCGATATATTCACCGTGACTGTTGCTCCAGCCTCATTTTCGAAAAAGTAAGGTTCATGACTCCGCCGGACCATAAACCGCACCAAACAGTCACACGTTGAGGATAGAGAGGCTTCTCAACAATAATTCTTGGGTTTTCCGAGCCCCAGATGCGACAATTTTGCTTGTTGACGAAGCTACCGAGGTGGAAATGGGCCTGATCACTCAAGATGATTTTTCGATGGAATTCCGGATCATTTTCATGCATTTCAAGAACCCAATCAGCAAAGACACGACGTTGTTGATAATCGGCCGGCTTGAGTTCTTGTGTTAACTGAACTTTATAAGACCCAAAACTTTATGCAAAATACGGTGTAATGACGTTTGTGGGACGACGAGGAATGGACAAACCTCGGTTTTCTGTAACACTTACGGCTAACGCAGCAATATTCTCGGCTGTTCTTGAGGACGTACACGGGTTTTATCCTTGACATCACTAAGTTGTCCCAACAGCTCGAATTTTTCCACCAATATCTGTATTGCGGTCTGACAAGATGCTTCACGACGACCCAGAAATGTTCGAGTTTCACGAACCGTCTCTGCCAAATTTTCACAATTTTTGTAATGAATTTTAATAATTTCGATGCGTTGTTGGAGCGTGTATTGGCGTAGTTTCTACTTGTCAAATGTCGATAAAAGACAGCTTCAAAAGTGACATCTACCGAAATAGCGGGCTATTCAGAATAACACCTCTTATTGGAAAACCCTTCATATTATAGAAGGAGTCAATGTCAATTTATTATATCTTTTCTTTTTCTCTCATTTCAATCTAATTTTTGTGAATGATTCAAGGCGAAGAATGGTTTCCATTTTATTAGGGTTGTTGAACTTATTTTTTCTACTGCTTCTCTCCTAGGGTATGTATGTCAATGTGTTTGAAGATCTCCTTTTTCTCTTATTTCAACCCATTAATAAGAATTGATTAGTTAAAATTTTATGAATTTTCGAAATGATATGTTTCCTATTGCTTCCCTTTTAACAGCATGACCACTTCATAGATTGTTTTGAAGTTAGAGTAAAAAGACACGTTGCTAGGCTCGTTGAAAAGAAACTTCATACCGATTCATTTTTGAAAAGGGATCCTGTCCCCTTGACTATTATTTATATTGAATCTATCATTGTTGATTTATTAGCAAAGTTAACAGAATATATACTAAAAGGATGCTGTGATAACATCTAAGCCTTACTAAAATATATAAATTCGATATAATCATAGGTAGCAATGTTGTCGAGAGTAACACTGATGGAATTCTTGAAATTTGAATATAGCGGAAGAAGCAAGCCTAATAAGTTAAAAGTTGCCTAACCCTTAAATTCAATAGAAGTAGCCAAAGTAATTCAAACAGTTTATTGACCAGTATGTTCATGAAAAAGAATTCTATAATTCCAATATTTTATAACTAACTCTAAGACCCGCTATGACTAGGGTCATATCAGAAAAGAATTATCCAACTAATCTCAAAAAATTTATGATTCATATCGAAATAATATATGCTCTTTATTCAAATAATGAATATTATAGAGCAGTTTTTGTCAGAGTGCACATATTGCTGAAAATATTTTCTATCCATAAGAGCTACAAACCGATTTATAGGAAATTAATACCTACTAAAGATTGTTTTAGGATTCGTTGGTTTACTTACGATTGGTATGTCTTTCATCGTTGGCGTCGGACTATGTTCACTGATGGGTGTCTTTTATGGACCAGTTCATACTTCTCTGCCTTTTCTTCTCATGGGACTGGGTAAGTAATAATTATTGTATGTTCCATCTAAAGGGTCTATACAAAATCCCCGCACCCGTCCGAAATAGCTCAGTCACCGAGATACAGGGTGGTGAAGTTAAACAATGAAAATCGAATTTTTCAAATCACATACATGAACATTTTTGAACGTATTCCAGAATTGGTAGCCAGGGTTTTTTTTACCAATGCACTTCTTATGGTTAAGAATGGCCATTACTCTTTTCACACTGTAGTTCTATAATAATAATAATGATAATAATAATCATTTATTTCCTTAAGACAGTTACAAACAATATGGAAAAAGTCAGTTGCTATATTTTATATTTTTTAAATATTTCACCGCAAATTGCCTCGACAAATATTAATCCAGCTCATAAAAACTCTGTTCTTTCAAAAAGGATTTCAAATTATGTTTGAATGATGGTTTATTGACATTTTTAACCAAAAAAGGTACTGAAAATGAAAATCCGCTAAAATAAGCTATTCAGTGTTCGATGCAGCATCGGAATATTTGAATTATTTTTAATAAAAAAATGTTGCTGTTGTCATCTTGGATGTAATTTGGTCAGTGAATTATCAGTGCAAAAATGGATTTTTCAAAAAACTTTTTTGGTGTGTACTTTTTATATTTTAGCTTTACCCTCCTGTATCAAACGGAGCTATTTCGTAAATTGGTTTAAATGTGATTTTGTACATATTAGGTACACCCTGTTACCTTTTGAATCTAAAGAATGAAGAAAGATAAATCATTCATTGTTTTTGTTAATTTTATTCTGGTACATTCAGTAGTAATTGGGATTTTTCGGATTTACTTGAGATATCTAATTATTTGAGAACTAAATTGCACAATTTTCACTCACACTCAGTATATCTTCTGTTATAACAACGAACGAATAAGAATGATTGATTTGAGGCCTTAAATTTTAAAATACACGAAAAAACTGAAATGCTATGTTATTTTTTCAGGAATTGATGATATGTTTGTGATATTAGCTTGCTGGGAGGAATTGACAGAAGAACAAAAAAAGCAACCGTTAGATAAAAGAATTGGCTTGATGCTTAAACATGCTGGTGTCTCGATTACCATAACCTCTTTCACCGATGTCATAGCGTTTCTTATAGGATCCTCAACAGTAAGAACATTTATCTTTTCAATCTAATTGATAGAATATCAATTCAAAACTGGCTGAAGGAACCTCTGTCGATGGCCATTTTTCAACCAATGAAGAGCAATTAGTATTATCAATTCATCATTTCATTTTGATGAAACACATAAATCGGATACGATAGTATTAATATGAAAACAAAAAAAACTGAAATCAGAGATTAATTATTTCTCGTCTATATTCTCATTCCTGAAAATAGATGATAATTTTTTTTGCATCTTGTTTTACGTATTAGTTTTTACACAACTAGTGCATATTTTCCTAACGTAATGTTTTATTTTTACCAAAAACCATCAATGTTTTGTAAATACTCAATGTTATCATCCTAGATTTAGTTATGAGATTTAGCAGTTGAATAGGTGGTGGAAAAATTCCACTCAAGTATGTCAGGTAGTGCCATCTGTCTGCAGAGTGATTTACTTGTAGTACCACTCTGTAGCGTATAGACGTAGGGGTCTGTACGTGTGACTATAGATGACAGCGCCATACAGTGTGTGTCGCGATATCTGTATCCTACCTTAGAGCTTTGTCACAAGATGGCTACAACATGACTACAACTTCATGCTATACCCTGCGTTATCATTCAAGTTGTTGGAAGCTGTCAGCTGATTGACATTTGAAATGGAATTCAAACTTAGAGGATCTCAGAGAGAGTAGATGACATCAACTAAAGAAAAATCATTGCTCAGGTTGTAGATAGCATACATTAGGTATGTTCTAGAGCTTTTAGTGGAAAAAACCATTATGTTAATTCGCATCATCTCTATTTATGTATTAAACAAAATTGTGATGGACATTTTTTTTTAGATATTGCCATGTCTTGAGTCCTTCTGCATCTATGCAGCAGTCTGTGTACTTATGATTTTTGTATTTGCCGTGACTTTCTTCACGGCATGTTTCGTATTAGACCAAAGAAGGGTCGAGAGTAGACGGAATGGTTTAATACCGTTCATTCGGCACAAAGAAGACTATGTTCCCAATGAATGTAGCCAAACGAACATATCTAATAGTATTTTTCAAGTGGTGTATACGAATATAGTATTGACTCTTCCAGGAAAGGTAAGAATAACAAATTGGTAATAAGTTTGATACATGGTGGGAGAAATATATTTCTTCCATTCATACTCGTCATCATACTTTTTGCTCTGAACGTGGAAGATTATACGAATTTATCGGTGATTTACAAGAACAACAAAAACTCACACGGAAGATGAGAAAACTGCAAGAGAAATTAAAACGATATTCTTCATCATGTAAGTGAGAATTGAATGAATTTTTTTGTAGAGAATGGATTCATACGACTAGAAAGTGTTATTGATACTAAATAGTAACTGATGGTTATTATTTACCGGAATAGGTAGTCTATTTGGAGACGATGATGTTTTTTATTAATAATTATGTAGACCTCGATAGACGACTATAGTAATGGTTCTGCAGCTTGAATCAAGATGCGGTATTTCTGGTTTCCAAACCTGACAGTGACGAATAGTTATAACAGCTTCAGTTTGGTTTATTTAGTGTTCACAATTAATTTGACATTATCAAATCGGTAAAGGTCTACAATGTTTCCAGGGGTTTTATAAGAGGGAGCTATTTCAATATCTAATTTGAGCAAGTCAATCGATAATGAAGTCAGAAAAATACAGCTAATTGACGCCATTCTTGACTGACATTTCCATCTGTGTATTGTGTTTTATTATTACTGTGCAGATACTGAAATCTGTAATTTTCAGTTCATATTCCCAAAAAAAAAACTCATTTTAGAAGACTCTTTGTTTTCAGATAATGGGCGAGGGTACTGGTAGTGAATAGTTGGCATTCAATTATATCGTTAGGGAACTGAATGAATTTTTGCAACACTTCTTAGCGTTTTTATGTAAATAATGTCGAAGTTGTTGAATTTCAGAGCTCATTTCAAACGAGCCCTCATGGTCGCCATTTGGTTATGTTCTTCGATACGTCAGATAATCTTCCATTCCCACTCATGAAGCAAGCCAAGTCACCAATTATAATCAAGTTATCAAAACGTTGTTTTAGCCCTGTCGTTGAATAAAAGTATATCCAAATTCGACCTAAGGAGGAAGCAATGATATTATAGTTATTAATTTGTGACTTTTTTCAGTAACCAGCTTGATAAAATATTTCTTACACTCCATAACCAAACATCATGTAAATGTTGGCTAGGCTAGAGACTTGGCAATGCTGTGCTAAACGCTGTTAACTGACAAGACAACGGACACAATCCTGTGTTGTCACGTTTACCGTACCAAATCTCCTCTAGAGTGAATTATTATTAACACAAATTCATAATATGCAATGAGACACAACATATAAGAGGGAAATAACAAGACAGTCATTTATTTATAGCTAATTCAGAATAGCACCAATACATAATAATTGAAAATTCATGAATGAAGTCCCTATTCGTATTTCAACATATGGTAACTTTGCTATGGTCTGCCCCTGCTTACGAGATCGTGACGTCAATTTCTATTTGCGGTAAATTTCTAGCCGTTTGAAAATTATCGTGGCAATGTTGATGATCTTAGCACCTTCAAATCGACCGAAAAGATCTAAAAAAATATGGAGTCGAAAGGTAGCTGAGTAATGAATCTATTCAAGAAATGAAAAATAAAGTTGTCCACTCGCCTATTGTGATAGCCATTAGTATTATCTGTGCTTGTTTTGCTTTAGAAAAGGTTTTTGTTTTCAGATAATTGTGATAGCCATTAGTATTATCTGTGCCTGTTTTGCCCTGCAAAGCGCTTGCAAACTAGAACAAGTGTTTGATCCAGACTGGTTCATACCCACAAATACCCATTTGGGACAGTACTTGGCAGCAAAGAGTATTTACTATCCGGACAAAGGTTTCGATGCAGGATTCTATATCGGACCTGTAAATTATAGCTATGAGATCAATAATATCAAAACGGCTGTGGAAAAACTTCAGGTGTTGGATAATATTACGGAAAACGTTCAGTCTTGGGTGGAACCGTTCAGGAAATTTGTTGCCATTAATTTTCATCATGGTAAAAGAAGATAGTTTCTGTACTTATTTCCTCATCTGACTTTCAGTTATGATTTTCAGATATTTACGATGAGCCATTGGATGACGAAAGATTTAGTAACTTCTTATCAAAATTTTTGATGAGTCCGTATCATGCGAAATATCAGGCCAACTTCATTTTCGATGGAGTTTTGGAATGCGGTGTGTCGGCTCCGAAAATAAAGGTTAGTTGGATGATTTTGTATCTGGTTTTATGATCTATTTTCATTTTATCACAGTCTTTTTTGGAACCTAGACAAATGAGGTATTTGAGTTCCAGATTATATGCAAATAAACTCTCTAATAATTAATATATTTCTCATATTCAATCGAGGGGTAAACCACGGGCCAATTTCGGGTACACCAGATTTCCTTTGTCGAAAGAATTCCCGGAATTCCTGGGACTACCCAAGGAATTGCTGGGACTGTCGAAAGGATTCCCGGAATTCCTGGGACTACCCAAGGAATTGCTGGAACTACCCAAAGAATTCCCGGACTTTCTAAAGAATACCCGGAATTCCCAAAGACTACTTGGACTACCCAAGGAATTCCCGGACGTCCCAAGGAATTCCCGGACTTCCCAAAAAATTTCCAGACTTCACAAAGAATTCCCAGACTTCCTAGAGAATTCCCGAACTTCCCAAAGTATTCTCGGACTTCCCAAAGAATTCCCGGACTTCCCAAAGAATACCTGGACTACCCAAGGAATCCCCGGACTTCCCAAGGAATTCCTGGACTTCCCAAAGAATTCCCGGACTTTCCAAAGACTACCTGGACTACCCAAAGAATTCCCGGACTTCCCAAAGAATACCTGGACTACCCAATGAATTCCCGGACTTCCCAAAGAATTCCTAGAATTCACAAAGAATACACGAACTATTCTTCTCGGATACACTGGACTTTCCACGTGTTTTACCCCTCGTATACAACCAGATTTCGTTGGAACATCATGACTTAATAATTCTCCTCTCAATTTCAGCTATCTACTATCGATTTTCATTTCCAAAAATTCCAAAATCCCAGAGATCATATACCCGGAATGCACAGTGTAAGAAGAATTGCCGAAAATGCCAACTTAACTACTGGCGAAAAATTTTCAACGGTTTGGTCATATTTTTTCTCGGTGTGGATAACAGACGAGGTAAATATACAGAGTGGTTCATATTTTAATGCATTAATTCTTAAAGATGGAAGAGACTAGCAAAGTCGAAGTGGAACCGTATTGATAAACATACCTCCAAAGATGTATCATCATGCAAGACGTTAACGTTCTATCAAAGTAGTTATATGATAATTTATTAATCATCAGCAAAAAAAAACATCAAAACATAGTAAATGAACACTCACGTAGAAGAAATCGACCACCCTCAATTGTGTATTTATTGTATGTTAGTGTCTGCATACAAAAGTACTTGCCTTCAAAAATAGTCGATTTTTCATTCGGAAATTAGTACGTAAAATGTCATTTTTTGTTGGGGTAGGCGAAAAAGTTTATTTCAAATCATTTAAAAAAAAGTTGACCATTCTTGAAGTGTAGTAAGATCAAAAAAAGACATTTTTTGAAGTCGCCTCCATAAAATTCAATGTTGAGTAGGTGTGTTTAATCCTATTCAAAAACGGCAGCTGGCCAAATTTGAGACGGATTACTTTTGAATATCCTTAAATAATAATAAACTTTTTCAAATCCAACATTAGCTTATATTATTTTGCAATATTGGAAGTATGTTCACCGAAACGAGTTTCTCTTTTCTGCGATTCTCACTCTCAAAAGGGAGTGTATAAAAATCTGGAACACCCTCATACAAATGTAACTAGGTAATAAGATTTCAGGGCGGAAAGTTGCTCGGATACATATTTGGGAGATTATATTCATAGAGAAAGTATTTTTTTGGCCCAATAATAAGCTCTAATAATTCATGAAGTGGACTGTGAATCACCCTTCTTGAATTACCCCATAAAGTAACTTTTGTTTCAACTCATGGTATTGTCGTTATGTTAAAATATTCAAGAAAATTCAAATTTCAAAATTATTCATCTATTATTGTTGATGTTATAGTGGTGCATTAGTAACAAGCATAATGAATGTTTGCTTTCAATTGAAAACAACCTGTCCATATTCAATAGAAAATCTATACCTTTATTACATGACTCACAACTCGACGACATAGGTATTCGGCATTATTTTTATTATTCTTTCTTAGTTGAATTCTCTTGTTAAACTGATTTCTCAACAATTGCATGCTATTTTTTTTTATTAATTTCTTACGTTTTTTTACGCCTTCATTATTTTGGAATATTACTATGCTGTGTTTACTGGTTGCTAAGCCAAACTGAACGGTAAGTCATGGGTAGGATTCACAATAATTACACACCCTCACAGATTTCGAGATAATTGATTCCTTTAGATGATCATGGAAATGATCAAATTATCTGTTGTCAAATTGAAAGGTGCTATAATTTTCGAGAAGTATACTCTACTTTATCTAAGGGAATATTGTTTGTAAAATTTCTTACAATTCAACCAACCTTGGTTGTAATACCTACCTTCGAATGTTTAATGTTTTTTCAATACTGGACCACTTATCGTTATTTTTTATTGACAAAATGAATACCTACAATCTTTTTCAGTTGATTGAAGTCGAAGTGATGAGGAACCTTCAACTGGCTCTACTCTGTGTGATGCTCTGTACAATTATTCTGATAGCTGACTGGCAAATATGCCTATGGATTTTCATTTGCGTCCTCATCACCATGGTAGATGTTATGGGATTCATGCAAAGATGGGGTCTGAATATCGATTTGATTACCTGCATTGGCCTGGAACTGGGGATAGGTGAGTTTTTCCTGCTGTCAAGCTCAAACATTTTCGAACCTAACCTGAATTTGTGGAAATTCATCATTTTCTATTCTGAAACTGGTCAAATACTCGAAAAAAAATAATTGAAAGATATGTTCTTTTATGTATACCCTTGACTGACTTTCATTGCATATCAACATTGTAATAATCAAGATGATGAATGTAAAAGAATTCCATGCCATACCATACCAAACATATACTTTGTAGTTTAGAGGAATGGTGGTACCATATCGGCTCATTCAGATAAAATACAGAATATCCAAAAATATACTGTCAGCTAATCATCATTTGCTTTTCATCTCTACTGAGGATGGCAACTCAGTTACCGATAATAATAATAAAAATATTCATTTCATTCTTTGTTATAAACATTAATTTGCATCTCAGATAAATATAAATATATTTATTAAGGTTTATAATGTAATGACATGAATAATCAGACTGATTCATATCGTGTATGAGATGATTCATGCGTTATTAAATCTTATTGAAATAAACAATAAATACAATAATAATAATAATAATGAAATTTTGATATCATCAGGTAATTTATTGAGAGACCTGTGAGTAAACTTTTTTTGGCCAAGTGTAGAATTAGCAGCATCAAGATGAAACAAGTCATATTGTCTAGTATGATGTTCATGGATCTGGGAATTCCTTACCAATATGAAGTTAGATAGATCTGTGGTGTTTTTTGATAATATCATAAGAAATTTTGAGACAATTTATTGGTCAAATGGTGCTCTTCCAAAGAAAATTTATTCATTTATTTCTTCATATATTTGATTTGATGGTGTGTCATATGGAAGACGATACAGTACTTTTAATGTTTTTTATATAGTACAGATATCTTGTTAAAATTATTCTTGGAACATGAATTCCAAATTTTTATTAGATAGTTCATTTTACTAAGGAATTGAGAGTATAGAATGGTATTTGCTAAATTTAGGCTGACTTTTGAACATCTTAGGGCACCAAGTATGGGAGAAATTTATTCTTTGAGCATACCAAAATGCATGTCCCAAGTTAACTTTCCATCAATCCAAATACCAAGGTATTTGGTATTGGCAGTTTGTTCCAATCTTTCATTTTTTCATTCTAATATTCAAATCAATATCTTGTTTTATTTCTTTGGTGGAAAGTTATATATTGTGTCTTATTAGAATTAAGACAAAGCAGATAGGAGTAAAACCATTCTTCCATTTTATTTAAATCCTCATTTATGTTGTTTTCTGAAATTACAGGGTTTCTGTTTTCAAATAAAAGTACTGAGTCATCTGCATATATGGCATAGTTTCCTATTAAATTGATTTTTGAAATGTTTTGAATGTATAAAAGATACAGAATTGGCCCCAACACTGATCCTTGGGGAACTCCTTTGTTTATATATAGTATTTTGGATTCACAATTATTGATTTTAGTACTGATATTCCTTTTTTCTAGATATGTTTTCAAATCTCCACTTTCTCACTACATCATCTGCTATATCACACCTTCGAATTATTGACTGATTTGTGGCATCTGCTTTGACAGGTCTCTGCGTTGACTATGCCACTCATGTGGGACACACTTTCTTGACTGTGCCAACTGGCACAAGACGTGAGAGATCATTGAGAACAGTCACTTCTATCGGATCGGCAGTTCTTTATGGGGGACTGTCTACATTTATTGGAGTATCGATGATGAGTTTTTCAACAGCTCTTATATTTCAGTTATTTTTCAAGGTGAGTAGTATAGACACTAATGTCTTGAGGTTTGAATTTGAAAATGTTGATGAAAATGGAACGAAAAGAAACGATATTTATAGTACCTTTATCACATAAGACCTAATTCCAAGTTTCCTTACTGGTACTATGACATATTTACATATTTTCTGATAAGGGTTATGATATTTGAAATATTTTAGTTGGAATCTACGGATTTGCTGTATTTTTATATATAATTTTGCGAACAATCAGAAAATGAACCCCTTTAATTCGGTGGAACCGTATGGTACTGTCCAAATAAAATGTTTGATCCAGAAATTATTATTATTATTCCAAATACTATTCCTTATTTGCTTGAAATCGTATGACATATAGTATTAGTCGTCATAGTAATATCAATATTTACATTATTTTGATTCCTGATTCAACTTTTGATTCAATGAACTAAAACGTTGGTTAGCAACACACACATCTTTCTATTATTATACCAGCATACGTCAACCTCGATGACCAACTTTGGAATGCAACGAAAAAAAAAAGATTTTTGATCAAATTCCAAAATTTTACAGTTCACATATACAAGGTGAATCTATGAGAATGGGAAATCTCTGAACTACAGAGAGTGAATACCAAAATATGAAGATTGAGCCTTACAAGCCAGATAAAAATGTTGCTGATTTAGGAGAGAGATAATATGTTCAAGGGGACGATTTTTTTTCGAAATCTCTCAATTACTTTGTGAGTTTTCACATTATTAACATACAATTATGTGGTTTGAAGTTTAGTGACATGAGAAAAATGAATTTGTAACTCATTTTGTGATTGCTCATAGAGGGTGCTAGTGGCACTCTATTACTGCAGTACATTATATCATATCTTCCTTGTCCATTGAATAATGCTTGAAATAAGTAAATTTAACATAAAAAATACTCTTTTGTTTAGAATACTATTTGCTCTTGAAAAGATCTGTGAGGCACTTATGAAATTTTAATTATCTCAAATTATTGAGTTTGAAAAGTTACATTGAAAAAAAAGTCTGTAATCAATAATGTCAATCACTAACAACAGCAACAACAAACACAATTTCAGAGTAAATGTTCGACCGAAGTTATTGCTCATGAACACCCTACCCTGTATCTTCGAAACCAGCAACATTTTTACTAGGCATGTAAAGCTTTGTCCTAATATTTTAATTGTTGTTCACACTGTATTTCAGGGCTTTCCCATTTTTAATTAATCACCCCATTGATATTGCATATTACCTACAAATCCTACAATGAAATTGAGTTGAGTATCGATGGGTCTTCTTAACAGTCCTTTTCATTTTCAGATATTCCTTCTAGTCATAGTGTTTGGTCTATTCCATGGAGTGGTTCTTCTTCCTGTGATTTTGAGTATGATTGGCCCTAGTCCTTACACCACCCACTCTCAAGATCTTCTGAAAGAAATTAGGGGAACGGATCCGGATAAGGAAGAAAAAGTAGTAACTGAAATGAAATCAATTATATAGTCGACTGACAATGATTGCTTTCGATTATGTGAGAGATAATAAATATTTAACTGTTTTTGACTGACTTTCTTTCCTACTCAATAAATCTTAGTACATGTGAGTTTTAAGTGAAAGTCACATATGCTATAGTCCAAGAAGTAGATACAAATGTATCATGCTTCCTCCAGAATTCTTGATATCAATGTTTGGTCCAGATATTTTTTTCTATAACAAAATTCAAGAAGTTGATTTGATTGGGCCTTATATCCACCCTGATAGCTTGAAAAATTTTTACCTGTGCTTATGGAGAATGAAAATTTTGGATTGAAATGTATATATTTTCAGCATGATGGTGCTTCAACTCATTCACGAAAGATAAATGTGAGGAATTTTCTTGACGAGAGATTTCCAAACATGTGGATATATGTCGAGGGGGATCTGATCGCTCTGGCCTCCAAGATCACCGAATTCCAATCCCGTTGACTATTTTCTTTGGGGTCAGTATAACCATTATTGGGGGCACTTTTATTCGGTGATGAAAAAGTTCATGATCATTGCTGTTTCAAAATATCATATAATTCGTATGTTGCTCTTTCATTCTTCTTCTTCGAAGCACTGGTGGGCGGGTGAACCCCCCTGCACGTGGGCCTCCTTATTCGGGCCCATTGTGCGCCCACATGTTACGACATTCAGCTGGGTATGCCGACTGCCTTGGAGAAGTTCAGCAGCTTCCTCAGCTGAATCTCTTTCACGTCCTCAAAATTATGTTGCCAAGGACAGCCCTCCTCTGATGCGTCAGTGCTGGACACTCAGTGAGGACATGTGTGATGACGTTTCGTCATCTTCCAGGCACCATCTGCAAAGGGGGTCATCCTTTATCCCAATAAGCTCTAGATGCCTATTGAGGTGGTTGTGACCCGTTAGGAGCCCCCACTACCATTTTAAGGTTTCGCCTGTTTAGGAATAAAACCTCTTTTGCGAGCCTCTTCGAAGGTTCCTTTATGTGGAACTTCGATTGTCTCTTTCCTGGTGTGTCCTGCCATATTTTGAGGAATTGCTTTTGCAGCTGTTCCTCTATAGAGGACATTGCCAGGCTATTTGGTATTCCCAAGATTGGTTCCGGTCCGACCGAGGTCCGTCCTGAACCGATCTTTGTCAGTCTGTCTGCCTCCTCGTTTCCGGGTATTCCCGAATGTCCCGGGACCCACATGAGGCTGACTTTTCTTGATTTTGCCAGGTTTTCCAAGGCTTTTCTGCACTCGGACACCAAATTGGATGTGATCCTATTGGATTGCAAAGCCAGTATTGCAGCTTTGCTGTCCGAGCATATAGTGATTGGTCTACGACCTCTCATAATTAGGTTTTCTTGGACACATGTGAGTATTGCAAGTATACTTCTGCCCTTTAATTAGTTTCATTGCCTGCTCATACACTACGAAATTGTTTAACGAGCACGAAATGATAGTGATTTCCCACGAGAATGAAGTTTGCATCACGAGCCGTAGGCGACTGCTGCAATTATTCGAGTGGGAAATTAGCATTCCGTGCGAGTTATACAATATAATTTTTTTACGGCTGTAACAAATAACAGTGAAATTTTTGATTTCTTCTTCTGTAGCCATCTGATTTCCTCTCAAGTAATATGCTCATTTATTAGACAGAGTTATTCATTTTACAAAGATCACTGGAACAGTACTGGTTGAACGATGAATTAAGGATATAGGTTCCACATTGTCATAAAGTCATCAATGATATGACAATGGACCATCAGCCTATTAGATTTTATGGATCATTTTTTCGATAATGGACAATTGATGTGTTTTCCACAGTTCTTCCATTTTGTTTTTTCTATCTTTTTGCGCATGACCTTTATTATTGTCAGATGTGAAATGAACAAGTGAATATAGATAGAAAGCTGTACGAGTTTATTATGCAATCTCATCATCAAATCGAAATATCGAAGAGATATAATAATATGCAGTTAAAGGGGGTATAATTGGACCCCCATATACAACAATAAGGCACCTACCAGGTAGTTTCTTGTATCCAGGAAATAAAGAAAAATATATTTTATCATTTTTCGTAATATCTATTCTCACAAACATATTTGACATGAACGAACGGAACACAAATTTGTTATTATAATGCATGGGAGGAGTATTCTAACGAAGAAAACGTTTTCCAACATTTTCTGCGTATGAAAAAAGTCACATGTTTCACTGTTTCTTAATGAAATTTTCAATGCTTTCGAAAACCAAATCTGCAATTGATATAAAAAGAACCTTATCAGAAAACAGCACTTGAGCTCAGTCACCGCTTTATAAAGACAAAAAAATCAATTCTGACGAAGTAACAGATAAAACAGCGGTTCCAGAGAATCTTAGTGCTGGATGAAAACCAAGATGAACTATCCAGTTCGGATAGCTTTCTCTATTTTTAATGACATTAACGGGGTGTTTCCGTCTACATGTTCACCTGATATTACTATAATCTGGTGGGGAATATATCTTATCGTTTTTATTGATCGCATACTCAATATTTCCAAAATCGCTATCGTTTGGTGGGAAACTATGATGATAACCAGAAACCTCAACCAGTTACTTTTTCACCAATGTATGGATTCTGCTAGAATGCATTTTATCAAGAGGAACATTTCAATGTTGCGGTTTTGGCTTAGGAATCGCTCCAAAGAGTGAAGTTCTCTATCTTCGGATATATTATCAGTCCCTAAATAAGTATCCACCTCTTGCTCCTCGTAATCCATATTCTCAAGCCTTCTGGAAACTACTTGCTTAAACATTTTATAATGAGAATAAAAAGTCTGCCAAACCAACTGAATACTGAAAACTGGTGTTCAATTCGTAAAATGGAACAAAGTAACTTTGGATCCTCAATGTTTTGAATATTACACCACAAGTTTCTTCGAAAAAGAACCAAGTAGCTTTTGATCCTCACAGTGGACTACGACAATTCGAATATTTTCAATTAAGTCAGATGTAGTTCTATCAACCTCCAGACATTATAGGGATTCCCTTTCGTGCGCTCCAAGCGATAAAAAAACCTCCAGACGGCGCTAGATCTCCAAATTGTTGGATTCTTGTTGTGAAATGACGTGAATTGTGAATTAGGTTCTCATAATCGTTTAAAGTCTCGTTTTTTCACAAATAGTCGGTATTAATTGGTTCCTTGTTGCATAAGGGGGTCCAATTTAAAACCACCAAAATTTTCTCTTTCTGCAGATTTCAAATGTCAAATATCTTCTGAGAATCGAATTTCAAAAGATTGATCAAATACAAGTATACTGATGCATATTGAAGATCGCTACTCGTTTTTAAATGCCTTGAAATATATTTTTACTGGTTGTCTCGCTGTCATAAAAATACATTGATCCTAGCAACTTGTACTGCTGAGATGCTGAGACATGAAGTGGATTTTGTGGCTCTCATGGCTTTCCTCGATACTTCCTCTTTATTACCCCGCCCGCTGTTTATTCGCTTTTCATACCTACCTATATATTGTCTCCTAATTATACGTTCCCCCTCCTCTTTCGTGATATCATTTCTATAAATGAAAAACATAACATCTGGTATTGATATTCTTTGGTTTATCTTGATTGATATGTACAGGGTGATTCACCATAAATTCACCCCCTTCTAGCTAACTTATTCTTGGACCGATTGCAAAATTTGAATAATCTGTGAAATGATTTTTCAGAAATTTTGTATCCTCTACATCAGAAAATACAGGATGCTCGCAAAAAACGATCTACACCCTGTATTTTATTGCATTTTTCATTCTCCCTGAAGAACTGATTATATCAATATATCATTTGGGGTCTTGCGGGAATGATTACAGAGATATTGGGTGTTCAAACAAGTTTTTTTCAATTCAAGGATTTTTTCAAGCCTAAACCATGGGCGTCATTCAGGAAGGAGCAGGGGGGGCAGTTGCCCCCCTTGCTTTTCTACAAAAGATAAATTTACAATGAATCTTCCTGTACCAATGACACAAAACGAAACAGATCAGTATACATTGAATTGAAAAATGTAATTTTAAAATGTTCGATTTGTGAGGCAGTATAATATTAGGTATCAAACACTAAATATACCTAAATGGGGAAGGAAATATCAGAAGTTCCATAATTAAAGTAAAAACTGGCGCCTTCGGCCATTTCAAAATATTACGAAGCGATCTAGTACAGGTACTTTACAGACTGATATAGTTTCTGCATGGAATGAATGATATGAAAATATTGAAATGAATTGAAGAATCTGAATATTTCGCAAAATTGAGAAATGAGTCAGTATTCCTTGCTTGATAAAGATCAGTCAGCAATACTCAACCGATCATTTACATTACTTCAACCTCATTCAGATATTTTTTGGTTTATTTGTGTTAGTTCGTCGTCAGAACCAATATCTTGTCGTCCTTTTGTAATCGTAAAATCAGAATCTTTTCCAGAACGTTTTGACACAAAAGTCCCGATTTTTATTGACATTTGTAAAAAAAAGAAAACATTTGTTATTCTCATTAACTCGTGAACAGTTGAATTTTTTTCAATCAAATTCGGTAGGTATCATTTCCAAATACGTCCATTTCCGTTTCAATAATGGGCGTGTACACCTTAGTAGAACTTTTAACTCAAAACATGTTTATAATGATCCTTTTATACAAAAATAATGATTGACGACATAATTCGATCGAAAAATTAACTGGAATGTTTTATTTTTGGACATAAATAATAGTACCTTCTGAAAACAGACCCTCTTATGACGTAGAAACCTCATCTCGCCATAGTTAAAAGACCAAACGCCCGACGGAGACTGAGGCAAATTAATGCTTTCAACTGTGATCTCGCGCTAATTCACTCTGTCAGAAATCATGTATTATTCATCTCTGTCTGGAATAGTCTTGTTTCAGTATTAGGGTTTTGACGTCACATCATCGCCTCGTTTTCAGAGGTCCGAACGGTTTGCGGTGGTGAGCTAGTTTGGGTGAGTTCTATCGAATTATGGAATTAA